ATTATAAACGCTAATGATTAAAATGCTAAAAAATTATTTGATAGCTTACCTCAATGTTTTCAAGGCGATGGATGACTTTGGTGCTTACAGGCTAAGATTCATTTGACAGATTCTCTCAATGTCTTCAAGGCGATGATTGGCTTTGGTGTTTACTGGCTAAGGCTCTTACTCTAGGTTCCATGCTTCTTGGAAGTAATTGAGAATCTCCTCGTTTTGTAATTTGCAGGCAATTTCTTTATTTAGTAAGAAGCTGTGTAACTGCGTTGAAACCACATTCATTCATATAGGAAGTTGGAAAATCAGTTAAGAAACGTACGATATCTTCCCACAGCTTTAGAAAACCTTTCAAAATTTTACTTTTTCAGCAAATGTTGAATAATTTTTGAAAATTTGAAAAAGAAAAGATGGATAAATGAACCTCCCCACACCTACTTTGAGTATGTTCACCCCCACCTCAAATTAAAAAAAAAAATCTCCCTGTGACACCTTTCAACATAACAGAGTTCACAAAGACACACTAGCGCCCACATTGGGAAACAGACGTTCAGATTGCTTTCTTGTACTGTCAGTCTCATATTGAACATTAAGATACGCTGTAAAACCGAGAAGAGTTATTAACAAATTTCAAACTGGGGAGGAGTGTGGGCCGGACGATGGGTGGACCTATCTACTCCTATTGAGGAAATAAATAAATAAATAAATAAAAATAAATAGCTAATAAAATTTCAGAGTTTAGACAGAGACGTTAGAAGTATAGAGTTGAAGTAGACTTTAGAAGGAACCGGAAACTCAATCTTAAACAGGAAATAAGGGATAAACCTCTACTCCTGTTCAAAATTTGGTTGTTTTCACGTCTTTAGACAATGTGTTTAATAGTTTGCGTCTTTTCTTTCTGTTTACATTTGCAACACCAACTTCTACAAATATTTTCTTGGTAAATCCATTTTTCTTGATTTTACCCTTGTTACTTTTTTCTCGCATCGCTTTCTGTGACATTCTTAAAGACAGGTTTATTGTTACTATCTTGTCAATAGTAATATTTATATATCTACTTTTGAAATTTCTAAAGAAGTAATGGATACTTATTTATTAATCCGACAGATTATAACTTTAAACATTATTGTTAGTGGATACTCGTATTTGAATAGACGCCCCGTTTATTTATTAAACAGTATATTTGTTTATTTTCATCTATCAGCCTGAATATTCTACAAATCTTATTAAAAAAATATGCTTTTTTTATTCATCCAACAGATTTTTATTATCAGGTTCATAAGTTCTGTTCAAATTTTAACTTTTTGTTAAAATGAACGAAATTTAAAGAGTATTTTATAATGTCTAATGGAGCTGAACATTATTTTTATGTTTAGATGCATTTAAACTGATCAAATTTTATTTTAGAGAACAATAAAATTAAATTTTGTTTAATTAAAACCCTGCTAACATGGAAGTACCCAAGAATCATTTGAGGCACATAATGCTTTATGAGTTCAAGAAAGGAAACTCAGCAGCCGAAGCGGCTAGAAACATTCACTCAGTTTATGGAGAGGAATGTGTGAATGAAAGAACTTGCAGAAGATGGTTTGCAAAATTCAGAGGTGGAAATTTCAGCCTTGAAGATGAAGATCGAACCAGACGTCCAGTTGAGTTTGATGAAAAGCTTCTTGAAGCAGCCCTTGAAGAAAATCCTGCTTTATCAGTTGAGGAATTGGCAGTGGTTCTCAGTTCAAACCATACAACTGTTCATTGTCATCTTCAACAACTTGGAAAAGTTCCTAAACTTGGAAAATGGGTGCCTCATGAATTGTCTGAAAACAACCTCAAATCCCGAGTTGACATCTGCTTTTCTCTCCAGTCTCGCCAACTTGTTTCACCTTTTTTGGATAGACTTGTGACTGGCGACGAAAAACGGATCTTTTATCGAAATGTTAAGCGTCTTAGACAGTGGCTTGGTAAAGGGAAAGGACCCCAGCCACAGCCGAGAAGGGAACTTCATGGATAAAAGGTTCTTCTTTCAATCTGGTGGGATCGCCAAGGAATAATCCACTTTGAATTCTTACCACCTAATGCAAAAATTAATGCTCAAATATACTGTCAGCAATTAAAGCGTTTGAACCAAGCTTTGAGGCAAAAAAGACCTGCTCTTGTGAATCGAAAAGGGGTGATGTTTCATCAGGGCAATGCGCGACCCCACACAGCAAGAATCACGTCACAAAATATCGAAAAACTTGGTTGGGAGAAAATTCCTCATCCACCTTATTCTCCTGATCTTGCTCCTTCAGACTACCATTTGTTTCGTAGCTTACAGAATCATTTGGAAGAAACAGCTTTTGTAACACAGGAAGAGGTTAAAACTGACATTTGTGAGTTCTTTGAATCAAAGCCAAAAGAATTTTACAGTAATGGAATTAGTAAGCTTGTTAATAGATGAAAGGAAGTCATATATAATCAGGGAAAATACATTGTTGATTAAATCTGTAATTAAATGTAACATTTGGTCACTTGTTTTCTTTATTAAAAATTCGGACAGAACTTATGAGATGACCTGATACTTGAACGTTTTTTTCTTAGATCTGACGTGCTTTGACCTTTCGGCTACAGGTTGCCTCGGAGATCGAGTAAATAGAAAATCCATTCCTTTCTTTACAAATAGCTTTGTTTACGTTAAGATACGAAACTGTGTCTACCCTGGTGCTCCTGCTGTTCATCTTGAGGTTCTTGACAAAATTCAAAGAAGGATCTGCAATGTAATCGATCCTGACGACATCTCGACGTTAGTCACTTGCTCGCAGACGTGATGTGGCTTCCCTCTGTCTTTTCTACAAATATTTTCATGGAAACTGCTCTGACGAGCTTCTTTCCTTAGTACCTCTACTGCATGAATCTAAACGTGCTACTAGACTGGCATCTAGCTCCCAACCTTTTACTGTTGAAATAGTTAAATGCAACTGCCAATTCTACTCCAACAGTTTCTTACGCAAAAAAGAAAGAAAAAACAACACTAGGAAAAACGTAAATCCACTTCTTCCTCTCTCAGTCATGGGTTAATAGCAGAACTTCTCTGACGAGATTTTTACATTGGGACCCCGACTAAGCGTGCATCTAGGTCCCACCCTTTGACTGTTGAAATAGCTAAATGCAACCGTCACTTCTACTCCAACAGTTTCTTTTCTTGCACTTCCCGCCTGTGGAACTCCCTTCCAGTTACTTGCTTCCCTGATAACTACAATCTTCAAAAATTTAAATGCAACCTCAATCGCCATCTTCTCTTGTCTTGCACCCTGTTCATCTTTTATCCTTTCGTCAATACCCCTCTATACCCAGTCTTTTCTCACATTTTCACTCCCTGTAATCCCTTAACTAGTGGCACTCCCGCCTTGTTTGGGGTGAAATGATTATAAAAAAAAATGTCTATTTCAAGAGTCAGAGAAAAATCTGTGTGTAAACACACTATTCAACTTTGCTTGGTCATTGATGCACTCTGTAGCCGAGAGGTCAAAGCACGCCAGATCTAACGACGGTTTTCCCTATGAAAACGCGGGTTCGAGTCCTACCGGAGAGCGCATATTTTTTGCTAATAAGATTTCTCGGATATTCAGGCCGGTAGACGAAAATAGATAAATATTCTGTTTAATAAATAAAAAACGGAGCGTCTACTCAAATACGAGTATCCACTAAAAATAACTTTTAAGTAATAAAAACCTGTCAATCTGTCGGATTAATAAATAAAAAAATCCATCCCTTTCTTTACAAATTACTTTGTTTACATAAGGATACGAAACTGGACAGATATGTCTATTTCGAGAGTCAGAGATAAATCTGTATCTAAAGGCACTATTCAGCTTTGCTTGGTCATCGACGCCCTCTGTAGCCAAGAAGTCCAAACATATCAGATCTAATGACGGTTTTCCCTAGGGGGAACGCAGGTTCGAATCCGTATATTTTTCTCTGATAAAATATCTGGAATTATCAAGATGTTAGACGAAAATAATCAAATATACTGTTTAATGAATGTGTGTGTGTGTGCGCGCGTGCGTGTTGTGAAATACAATGATTTGAGAACATATGAAGAAATTTTGTTGTCAACAATTCTTAACGGTGGAGAAAAAAATAAGCAAAAACTGTGGTCATCCTCGTGTCTTTTTGTGAATATGCATCTTTTGTGCGTATTAAGAAATAAGTATCAGTCGTAGTACTGGTGACCGATCGTTTAACAAAACTTCGCGTTAAGATGGCTGACTGATATCTTCAGACATCCGTTAATACCTTCACTTACTCGTATTTAAGCGGGAAACCAAGGTTCCAAAAATTTGCGCGCGAATTACTCTGAAAGTGATTTCTTCAGCATATCAAGAATTTTCCAATCAATCAATTTGCATTTTACAAAATTTTACAAAATTTAATTTGCCTATTTATTTATTTTTAAAGGCAGTCAGATTTCGACGTTTTTTTTTTGTTTTTTTAATACTCCCTTCATACAGATCTTTGCCTAAAAGTAAATTGTGAATACAAACTATTTTCATTCTTTTTAGCGCAAATATTTAGCGCCTATTTCTTTCCAGTTTACTGATGATACACTTTTATTAGAATGTAGAATAAGTAATGAGTTAAAGGTTGCATTTAAAAAAGATCTTCGAATACAATATTTTAATCTTGATTTTTCAAACACATTTTTAAATAAATAAATATATTTTATTGATAAGACAATAGACATTTTGTATTAAATTTTATTTTCATTTTTCAAACTTTTTTTCTTATAAATGACATTGTTTTGTAATCCTTGATCGACAAAAACAAAGTGTGGTTGTGGTTTGGTTTAATTTCTCCTGTGATTAAAATGTCTTTTGTATATTTGCTACGCTAGTTACTTCTCTACTGCACATTTCATATTCTGAATGTTTGGAGTGACAGACACGTGGATGCTGAAGATTTATCAGCTTCTCTCACTTTACAACTTCTAACAAAATGAACAAACATCAGAATTTGGAGTGGGGCGGGTTACAGCCATATTACGTTGAAACACCGGTTTCCGTATGATCACCGAAATTAAGCAACGTTGAGTCTGGTCAGTACCGATGGGTAACCGTTTGGGAATACCAGATGCTGTAAACTTGTGCGGGTGATGTAATGTATAATGACTCTTTATTTGTTTTCGTCTACCGGCCTGAATGTTCGAGAAAACTTACAAAAGAAAAATATGCGTTCTCCGGTAGGATTCGAACCTACGTCAGATCCGACGTGTCTTAACCGACTCGGCCACGACGAAGCTTTGCCATTGAAACAAGGTCTGAACGGAGCCTTTGAGCGAAAATTTTTAAAGTGATAAAAAACCTATCGGACTAACAAACAAAAACTTCATTACTTCTTTAGAAAATTACTTTACATTTGGATACGAAACTGACCAGATATGATAATTTTTAGTGATCTATGACGAGAAGACCTTGTTTGATCGGCAAAGCTTCTTCGTGGCTGAGTTGGTTAAGGCACGTCGGATCTAACGGCGGTTTCCCTCTGCTCCTAGGGATGGAGGTTCGAATCCTACCGGAGAGCGCATAATTTTCTTTAATAAGATTTCGAGACGAAAATAAATAAAAGATACTGTTTAATAAATAAACGGATCCTCTACTCATGTAGGAGTACCCACTACAAATAACGTTTAAAGTGGTATAAATATGCCGGATTAATAAATAAAAAATCCATTAAAATTATTTATTTATTGTTTTACATCCTGGTTGTGAAAGCTTTCTAATTGGTTGGTCGAACAATGGCTTTGTTTGTATATTGGTTTTAATTCATCATCTATTTTTAAACATGGTGAAATCACATCACAAAGAAAGATAAGACGAAGAAGTGCTCAAAAATAAGAAACGTTTAAGGAAAATTTATGACTTTTCAGTCAGCCGAAATGGACATGGAACAAAGATAATAATTAACTAAGAGGCACCAATTACTAGTCTTATGGGAGAACCCCCGAAAATCAGGAATTCACACCAATTGTAAGAAATCTTTCTCTTTTCACCGAGGAAGAATGCCAGAGAATTAAGCCGATGCGAGGATATGATACTCCGTCCAAAAGAGGCATCTTTTCATAACATACCACAAACAAAGAGTGGAAAACCCCAAGGAAAATCAAGGAACTCAAATTTAAAAAGACAGGTTCTGAGTACATAGAAAAGTATATAGGAAAGCAACCCTAGTTACAAACCTACATCCATAGCAAATTTTATTTTCTACACAATAACAAACAATATTACAAACATGCCAAAAAGATTCCCGAATACAACACATACCGTTTTAATCACAGTATCTATTGGTTAGGAATTAACGACACCATGTGAAATATTTGACCAATCAGAAAAAACTAAAATCCTATTTATCTTGAGGATACTATCGAGGGAAAATTGTTATAAAAACCTACATATTTCGACTTTCAAGGAGCAGAGATGCGGCTGTCCCCGGGCCGTTCGGACACAAGAGATGCATCTGTCTCCACACAGCGCGTGCTGAAAGAAACATGAGTCGGCGACTTCAAACGAATCAGCTACAACAATAACATCAAAGGCGGCCAGTCGGCTATTTCAAACAAATCATGTCCAACAACAAAGATGGTCAGTGAATCTTCCTTGGCGTTAAAGATCTTTTGTTAACCATATTTTTCTTCAGACCGACTATTTGAAAGTCTTTTCTAAATTACGGCGTTTTATGTGGACCAGCTATTTGAAAGACTTTTCTTAACTATAAATTTTTTCTGTGTACCAACTTTGTGAAAGCCTTTTCTAAACTCTTTTTATGTGGACCAACTATTTGAAAGTCTTTTGTTGATATCAGTTTTCTGTCTTTTTTTTTTTTTTTTTATTTGAAAAGCTTTTTTCTTAGATTTTTTCTGATGCCAACTTTTGAATATTTTAAAACTACAGATTTTTCTGAAAACCAAAGTTTTTTTAATGCCAGTTTTTTTTTGTTTTTTTTTTGGAACTCTTTTTTTTTCTGTGAACAACAATTTGAAAGTCTTTTTCAAACTACAGATTTTTTTTTTTGTGGACCAACTATTTTTTCTTTTTGTTGATATTTTGCTTTTTTTCTCTTTGGACCAGCTATTTGAAAGTCTTTTCTAAACTGTAACTTTTTTTTCTGTGAACCAACAATTTGAAAGTCTTTTCTAAACTACAGATTTTTTTTTCTGAGAATTACCTATTTGTCAGTCATTTTTCAACCTCAGTTTTTCCTGTGGATCAACTATTTGAAAGTCTTTTCTAAGCTATAGCTTTTTTCTGTGGACCAACTATTCGAAATTATTTTCTAAACTACAACTTTCTCCTGTGGACAACCTATTTGAAAGTCTTTTTTAAACTAGAATTATTCTGTGGGCCATCTATTTAATATATTTTCTAAACTATAGATTTTTTTTTTCTGTGGACCAACTATTTAGAAGTATTTTCTCAATCACAGCCTTTTTTTTTCTTTGGACCACTATTTAAAAGTTTTTTCTAAGTTACAAATTTTATTACTTAGTGTACTAACTAACAACTAAAGACTATTTTTACTTCTTTTTAACTCTTTCGAGTTCATTTACATTTATTTGTAAATACAAACGATTTATTTAACAAACATCCCCATTGTTATAAAATAAAAAAAGACATATCTCGGCTGATTTACAGGCAAATATTCAAGAGCAAGAGCCGGATGTAAACGGGACAGAACCCCGTCACAAAATGACCATTATCTTCATTTACAAGTGTTCCCGACACACGTGTTCCGGTCGAAAAATAAAATAATATTTAAAGTGTTCTATTTTTCGTCCAATAAAAATGCTTCCCTCCTAATTATACTCGTTTCGTTTTTCGAGCCTGTTAAGCCATAAAAAAAACGCTATAAAAGTGGTCACACGGAAGTTCAACAAGCAGTCCACAGGTGCCCAGGGTAGAGACCTGTCACGGTCAGCAGCTGACAGCAGGGGAGCATCAACCACCGTCAACATGTGTGAACTATTATGAGTGATCGACCTAGATCCGAAGCCGGCTTATGAACTTTACCACAAGGTAGCTGCCCCAAACCCTCACGTTCCTGTTGAAATAAATCACGTAAATCTATTTCTGCTGTTGTCGTATTTCTTTCTTGCAACCATACGCTTGTCTATAACACCATGTTTGCTTTATTTTAATTTTATTATTGTTTGGCATTTGAATACTTAATATAAACAAAACCTGAACGACAAAATTTCCTACACGTACCCACACTAATTATAAGTATAGTGTAACCCGGATGTAAGAGAGTTGCCGGGACTGGAGAAGTCTCTTATATCCGGGTTTCTCTTATATCCGGGTTTGGTCTATTTTGTTTAGGTAAGTATGGCTCTAATTTGGGATCAGAGAAAATCTCTCTTATATCCGGGTTTCTCTTATATCCGGGTTTCTCTTATATCTGGGTTACACTGTAGTATGTTTATTCTAAACTATCTTTAGTGAAAGGATTGTTTATTTCATACAAAAAAATCCTCCACAAATCAAAATATTATTCATGTTTCATGACAATTCAATTATCCAAAATCACATCTATTACGATTTCTTTCCTTCTTTCTTTTTTTTATGTGATCTGCTCTTAAAATGGAGTATGTGAAAGTATTTTTAAAACTTTGTATTCAATAAGATTACCTTTTCCTGTTCAAGGAATTATTAGTTTGTTGTTGTTATTTTGTTTGTTTAACATGAAATAGTTTATCTCTTCTAAGCATGACATTTTGGCCAGTTTTCAAAACAACACATTTCTAATATTTTATTTTTAAACAGCATTATTTGCTGATTAGTCAATAAATATTTCATTTTTATTCCATCTAAAAACACGTAATCGCAAGTTCTATGCTAACAGCTTCTTCGCCCGCACTTCTCGCTTGTGGAACTCTCTTCCATCCTCTAGCTTTCCAGTGAACTTTGATCTTCAAAAATTTAAATGAAAATTTTAAAATTTAAAGATGTTCATAAATATTCATCAGTTTAACTAAAATGTGTAGGCATTAAAATCTTAGATTACGTCATGTGGCATCTTTGAAAAGAAATTTTAAAATTTAAAGACGCTCATAAATATTCATCAGTTTAACTGAAATGTGTAGGCATTTAAATCTTAGATTAAATCATATGGCATCTCTGAAAAGAAATTTTAAAATTTAAAGACGCTCATAAATATTTATCAGGTTAACTGAAATGTGTAGGCATTTAGACCTTAGATTATGTAATTTAGTATACTCAAAAAAGAAGAAATTGCTTTTGTATTATACGTCTCTAAAAGTTGAAATGATGGATTCAGTGTTTTCCTTTGATTTTTCAACATATTTGTTATGCATGTTGACTTGGGAAAGTAATAATTCTTTCATGAAAGGTGAGATTGGGAAAAACTGAGTGTAGATTGATATTTTGATAATATTCAATGGTGGCACTCTCGAGGATTTTCCTTCTGAGTAAATTAATTTCTCTTTTGATGGGTGTGGCATTTTCTAGATCTAAATTGTGTTCAAATTAATTTCTGTGTCTGACTAGTGTCTTTTGAAGATGCTATAAGATGTAATCTAGGTTCTACCACCTAAACTTTTTCAATTAACCTTAAAGCATTTTGAGTAACTGTCAAATATATACTTGTTGCAAAATAAAACCATCACATTTGCCTTGATAAATTCCGTCAGATGATGAAACGCAACAGCTAAAAACAAAGTATAGTTTTCCTCTTGACTTTTCATTCCTATATATATATATATATATATATATATATATACTAATAATAATAATATATGGTATTCTGTATGGAATTTCCAGGAGGATGTAGTCCCAGAGAGAGCTCTATGTCAAAAGACAGATCAAAATTATTATTAATTAATGAATATCAAACATTTAAAATCCCATGCAAGAATAGAACCTGTATCCTATACGGAACCGTCATACAGCCTGACGTGCTTTTACCGATTTATCCACAGAGGAGCGTTTCGGTTAGCAAGATCGATTTTACTGTTTTTATAGGATACAGGTCGGAGGGTGTATATTTTCTATGAAAATTTCTTGGACATTCAGGCCAGTAAATGTCGTTAATACTGTTTATTATAAACAGAGCATTTACTTAAATAT